TTTACATTCAGAGTGATTACTGATAGATATGAATTTAGTGCCATTGTATTACCTGTAAAGCCAGTGTTTCTGGATATTTTCTCTGTTCCTGTCTTTGGATAGTCTTTGTTGTCGTTGGTCTTTCTTTCCCACTCACATAGTCTTCTTTAATATTTCTTACAGAATTGGTTTAGTGATCAGGTATTCCTTTAGTTTTTGTTTCTTTGGGAAGCTCTTTATCTCTCCTATTCTGAATGACAGCCCTTGCTGGATAAAGTATTCTGGCCTGCATATTTTTCCAGTTCAGCATATTGAATATATCATGCCACTTGCTTTTGGCCCGATAGGTTTCTGTGGAGAGATCTGCCAGGAACCTGATTTATCTTTCCTTGTAGTTTAGGGATTTCTATTTCCTTATTGCTTTCAGGATTCTTTTCTTATCTCTTTATTTTGAAATTTTTACTACGATATGTCTTGGTGGTGAGTGGCTTTTGTTTATTTCGATGGGAGTTCTCTGTGACTCTTAGATTTGCGTGTCTCTTTCATCTTCCAGGTTAGGGAGGTTTTCATCTATAATCTTCTCAAGTAAACCTTCTGCCCCTTTTCCCCTCTCTTCTTCTGTGATTCCTATGATACAAATGTATTACACTTAAAGGAGTTGCTGAGTTCCCTAAGTCTACATTCGTGGTCCAATATTTTTCTTTCCCCCTTCTTTTCAGATTTATTATTTTCCATAATTTCATCTTCTGATCATTTATTTGGTCCTCTACTTCTTCCATCCTCTGTCCGGTACATCAGTCAGTTTTGCATCTCAGTTAAAGCATTTTTTATTTCAAGCTTACTAGTTTTTAGGGCTTTTATCTCTGTAGTAAAGGTCTCTGATTTCTTCTATGCCTTTCTCAAGCCCAGCTGGTATCCTTATGATTGTTGTTTTAAATTCTAGTTCATCCCCATTACTTATATCAATTTGGATTAGTTCCTTTGTTGTGACCTCTTGTTCTTTTTTGGGGGGGGCATGAATTCTTCCATCTTTGCATTTATTCTTGGTCTGTGTCTTTTGTGTGTTAGGAAAGCCTGTTCCTAGTACTTCTTTTACTAGAGCTGAAGCTTTGCAGCATCCTAGGATCAGTACACCTGCTGTGTGTGTGTGTGTGTGTGTGTGTGTGTGTGTGTGGTGGGGGGAGTGTGCTGGCCTTCTGCAAGAGAGGTCTGCTGCTGCTCTGGCTGTCAGTCACACTTGCTCTATTAAAAAATGCACCTGCAAAGTACATGGGAGCACAGATTGGTTTGAGTGTCTCAAGCCTCCACTATGTGTGCTGTGCTGCTCTCTGAGGCATGTCGGGGCTATTGGAGGAGTGAAGAATTGTGTGGTCCCACAGTCTTCCACTGAGGGGAGAATTTGTACCCTCTGCTGTTCTAATAGCCCTCACAGAAAAGCAGACAGTTTCCCCTCTTGTGTCTCAGGCTTTTGTAAGAACCTGAGTTCACCATGTATCTCCACTGTCTGCTTGCCCAATGGTGGTGCACTGCTCCTGTATTTTATCTCAGATGCGTGGCTAGAATTCACAACTCCAAATTTTAGGGACCCAGTGTGACAGAGACCCATGCTATCCTCTAGGGGAGGATCTTGCTGCACTGTGGCTGGTAGCAGTTTTTCCAAGAAAAGCAGTTGTACGAATGCACAGTGGCTTGGAGTTCATGGTAAAGCACAGCAAAAATTGGCATCCAGGTTAGCTGCCCTCAGCAGGATTTTCTGACCATATGCTAATGAATGGGTCAGCTCATGGTGCCTGCTGGCTTCTTTGTCCCCTCAGTCCAGACAGGGCTGTGCTGACAGACATTGCTGCCTCTCCCAAATGCCCTCCAAGAAGGAACTGTCCCTTCAGTGCTATCCAGGGGATTCTCAAAGCACATTGTCTGCTCTTGGGCCTCTGCCCTCCTTCTCCACAGGAGCACCGCTAAGCCTTCCAGGCTTCACCCTGGCAATGGCGCGGACTTCTAAAACTTCAGATTTAATGTACACTTGTAAAACTTGTGATAATCATCCCCTCATATTTTCCCAGTCAGTGGCTTTAGGGAAGTGTTTTTCTTGTGTAGTGCCCTGCATGCTGCTCGCTCTCTCTCCTCTCTCTCTCTTTCTCTCACTCTCTGTCTTTCCCCTCTCCCTCCCAGGATTAGGACTCCTTCCTGTCTGTAGCTCCCTTGATTCTTTTCTCCCCCAAATCATATCACTGCATCTCTTACCTTCAATACTGTGGCCTCTTTTCTCCCTGTAATTCTGCAGTTTGTTCTCTGTCTTGATTGATTGATTTCCTGGGTGTTCAGAATGTTTTTTTTTTTTTTTTTCAAATGTTTATTTACTTTTGAGAGAGAGAGAGACAGCATGAGTAGGGGAGGGGAAGAGAGAGAGGGAGAAACAGAATCCGAATCAGGCTCCAGGCTCTGAGCTGTCAGAGCCCAACGCAGGGCTCAAACTCACAAAGTGTGAGATCATGACCTGAGGTGAAGTCAGAGGCTTAACTGACTGAGCCTCCCTGGTGCCCCCAGAATGATTTGATAATACCCAGCTGTGTTTAAGGAATAAGGCAAGCATAAGGTCCTCCTACTATTTCACCAACTTAACTCCTTCCCTCAGTCTATTTGATTTTTAAAGCTATTAAGTTTGGTAATTGCATAGTAACCACTCAGCTCTTAGTTTTGAACATGTTTTTCACTTATTTTCCTTGATATTTAGTACCTACTGGCCACCTTTATGCATGTTTGTGAATTCTGTTTTTTTTTTTTTTACTTCTTTTTCATTATGTCTCTTCCTTTTTTTCTTTTCTTTTAAAAAATTTTAATGTTTTATTTATTTCTGAGAGACAGAGAGAGAGAGAGAGAGAGACAGCATGAGCAGTTGAGGGTCAGAGAGAGGAGACACAGAATCCGAAACAGGCTCCAGGCTCTGAGCTGGCAGTCAGCCCGGAGCCCGATGCAGGGCTCAGACTAATGAAACGTGAGATCATGACCTGAGCTGAAGACTGACGCTTAACCCACTGAGCCACCCAGGCGCCCCTTTTCCATTGTTTTCCTGTCTTGTCTCTGTGTATATTCTTATTTATTATGACCTCTGGTAAAGTTACATTTAAGAGCTTTAGCTATATTACCCCATTTCCCCCAAATTCTTTTGGAAGTTAAATTAGGAAACATGAAAATATTCATATATTTGGTACTTAACTAAAAGTTTGTTTGAAATGACAATTTTGATCGAATGAAATGTTGGATTCCACTGTTAAGCTAAAAAGAAGCAAACATTTCATAAGATATCTGAGAAATACTTTGTGGGACAAAGATCAAAGAAAATACCTTCTAACTATAGTAAATATCCAATTTTAGCCTTTTTTTTTCTTTTTTCCTTTGGTTTTACACCATAACTTTATTGTTTTTAGTGTTCTGTGTTATCAATCCCAGCATAGCTAAAAAGAAAAAAAAAAAACCCCACTAAATCCAAAGTTAATATAAAAAACCCCAGTGAACCTGTTGGGGTTATCTATATTCCTGCTTCCATTTATTCTAACAATTTTTAACTGTTTAGCCAAATGTGTGCACATTTGTTTTAATAATGAGTTCTCCTTTCTCTCTCTAGCTACTTCTCATTGTTTATCTACTTTTTTTAGTATTTATTTTTATTTATTTCTTTTTTATTCATTTTCCAGTTAGTTAACATACAGTGTAGTCTTTGCTTCACCAGTTGAACCCAGTGATTCATCTCTTATACATACCTAGTGCTCATCCTTAAAAGTGGCCTCTTTAATGCCCATCACACATTTAACCCACTTCCCCTCTACACCCCTCTCCAGCAACCCTCAGTTTCTTCTCTGTATTTAAAAGCCTCTTATGGTTTGCCTCCCTCTCTGTTTTTATCTTTTTCTTCCATCCCTTCATCTATGTTCATCTGTTGAGTTTTCAATTTCCACATCTGAGTGAAATCATGCAATCTGTCTTTCTCTGACTGACTTATTTCACTTAGCATAATACCCTCCAATTAAATCCACATTGTTGCAAATGGCAAGATTTCAATTTTAACCTTTTTAAACACGTTTTTCTTTTACCTATTCAAACTTGTAATACAATTGTGTGTTCATATTCAATCTTAGCAAATTAGTGAAAATGGTATCTTCTCTGCCTAATTGGCAAAGACACTTACCAAAACCCAGCCACCATTTCCTTGGGTTCATAGCTTTTGTAATACAGCATAACTTCCTGAAAGGGGGAAGATAGCAGATGGTATGGCAAAACCTGTATAGAGGTTTATTGCTTCTTTTACCAGCATATAGTATACAGAAAGAACTTTCCAACATTTTGCCCCTTATGTGTCATTTTATTTTCTACACAAATTAGAGAATTTAATGACAAATTCTGGACATCTCCAGGGAGATCCAATGACATAAGTAGAGTTACTTTAGAAACTCATATCACAATGTACTTTACATGTTTTTCTTGGTTAAGGAAATACTGTTCACCTATTTCTCCCAAATCTTTATAGAGTATTTAGGCAAGCTAATGGAAATCATATCTGATCAAGGGGCAAAAATTCCCAAGATGCAGTCATTTCAAATTAAAAAAAAAATACAAAGACCGGTAACTGCATTTGAAAAACATTCATGTAATTAAGTAGAACCTCATTGTGGAAGCATAGGTTTTTAGAAGATCAATATAAGTTGCTGTTTATTTTATTTATAAAAATGTTTATTAATTTTGAGAGAGAAAGAGTGAGCATGAGGGGGCTAGAGAGGCGGACAGAGAAAGGGAGAAAGAGAATCTCAAGGAGGCCCCACACTGTCAAGTGCTGTAGTGCAGACCCTGACATGGGCTTTTATATTGCTGCTATTTTGACCGGAGCAGAAACTAAGAGCCAGAGACTTAACTGAATGGGCCATCCAGGCAGGCTGTAAGTTGTTTTTTTAAATTAGAGATGCATTACATAGGCATTTTGAATGAAGGTTCTTGGTTTTGTTTTTGTTTTTTCTTTTTTTCTTTAGTTTGGATTGCAAAGGATTCTGGAAGATGAAAGGAGCCTTTTGCTATTGGCAAGAGCAATTGATCCCAAACAACCCAACATGATGACTGAAATAGTAAAAATACTTTCTGCTATTTGCATTGTTGGAGAAGAGAACATGTAAGTATTGCTGTATTATTATATTAAGTGCATGGAAAATAGCACTTGAGGAAGCCCATATTTTGTGATTTTCTTTAGATTACTTGCATGAAAATAATATCAAATTTTAGAAAATAGTTTACTGGTATTTTATCAGATCTGTTTTTACATACAGCATTTTTAAAGTATTTTGAAAGAAATAGATTTTAAAGAGAATTCTAGTGGGAAATTCTTCAAAGTTGGATTCAAATTGAATAAAAATAATTTTATCTAGCTGAAGGTAAAGGAATAATTAGTAAAGTGGGAAAATCAAAGAATAATTTTTTTTAAATTTTAATGTTTTTATTTATTTTTGAGAAAAAGAGAGAGAGAGAGATAGCATGAGCAGGGGAGGGTGAGGGAGAGAGGGAGACACAGAATCGAAGACAGGCTCCAGGCTCTGAGCTGTCAGCACAGAGTCCGATGAGGGGATTGAACCCATGAACCATGAGATCATGACCTGAGCCGAAGCCTGATGCTCAACCGACTGAGTCACCTAGGTGCCCCATAAATTGGCTAGATACACACACACACACACACACACACACACACACACCCCACATATGCCCATCGTAAAATTTGACTTCTCTAACTGACTGAATTGACTAGATGCTCTTAATTTGTACTGTGATTTTATTTAAAGTAGTATTTTATTTTACCTATGATAAATGAAAAGATAAAGTAGTTATGCATAGAGGGTAATCCTGTTAAACAGAAAGAACAAAAAGATTGTAATTATTCAGCGTGCATGTATGTGTTAATTTTAGCAAGTCATCGCTGAATGTACATTAGTTCATCCCTTCCTATGGAAATAATATTGACTAAGAAGAAAAATTTCAGATTTGATATCATTAATAAGCCCAGTTAGTAAGGAACCATTGTAATAAAGGATAAAGTATCTTCTAAGGACAAGAACTAAAATATTTTTTCTGAACATTTTGTGTGACAGTAGTAATTTCTGTTTGAATCAGAATAGGGCCACACAGACTTAAGAATATTCTAATACATTGGCTTTTTAATACGTGTTAGAATAAAATGAGGTCTTGCTTAATGCTGCTTAGTGTCCTTAGAAACCAAAGACAAATACTGAATGGAAATATTATCATTGATCAGTAAGTCTTATCTAAGAACAAAGAATGAAATAACATATGCAAAAGTAAGGTTTCCTTAGGTTTCATGGAAAAATTCATTTATATATGAGTAAAAAATATATTTCTTTTCAATTGGGTTTTCAGTATTTAATTCTTATAACCCACCCTGGTATTTTTTATAATTGTAACTATAGTTCAATAAGCACAGTATATGTCAGAGAGGTTAATTTGATTCAGACACTATATCGCAATAGTTTCCAATAATTTTCTTCAGGTAAATAGTTTTCTGGTGCTAGGTAATTATAGATGCTTTTCTACTTACCTAGCCTTTCTCTTTTAGTTTTTCTTTCTTGTTCCCATTTTCAAAGAATGTTGATGTTTTCAATTATTTTAAATGTATTTGCTCTTTCTAGCACTTTATTATAATACCATAGTCTATTTTCATGTGCATAAGATTTTAATAATTATATATGCCATATTGTACTTAAATGATTATTAATATTCATGTTGATACACAAAACATCAAAACCTGAAATTTTTAATTTCACTGTTTATCAACTAAGTATATTTTTAAAAATGTAACCTGGAAAATTTATTTTCTTCAAGGTTTTTTAATTGAGTTTTCATTTTGATGCCCTCAAGTTATTTAAAACTATCAATATTTGACTTGTAGAAATATGTGAATAGGAAGGAATACAACTCTTAAATGGTGATTGTCTATATAAAAATCTAGTGCCAGAAAGGAAATAGGGAAGACTGAAAGATAACACATATCATAATGTGTGTATAAGATGGATTTCTCATTTATATATATGTATTTTTTTTGTGTGTGTGTGTGTGTAGTCTAGATAAACTTTTAGGGGCAATAACTACAGCAGCAGAAAGAAATAATAGGGAACGATTTTCACCAATTGTGGAAGGATTAGAAAATCATGAAGCTTTGCAATTACAGGTGAGTTATTTTTTGTCTTAAACTATTTCTGGGGTTATATTTAAAGTACTCGCCAGCTCCATTCTTGCTAGCATTTAAATAGAATGAAACAGAAGCGCCTGGGTGGCTCAGTCAGTTAAGCCTCTGACTTCGGCTCAGGTCATGATCTCATGGTTAGTGGATTCGAGCTCTGCGTAGGGCTCTGTGCTGACAGCTAGTTCAGAGCCTAGAGCCTGTTTCAGATTCTGTGTCTCCCTCTCTCTCTGGCCCTCCCCTGCTCGCGTGTGCACGCTCTCTCTCTCTCTCTCTCATTCTCTCTCATAAGTAAATAAAACTTTTAAAAAAATTAAAAATAAATAAATAGAATGGAACATAAAGATGAAATTCTTCCTGTTGCTTGGTCATTTATAAAAGCTAGAAATTTTATCTGTGAAAATAAAAATTTGTTTAAAATTAGGAAAACGACTTCAAGTTATTATAATATAGTGAGTATGATTGTCATTAATATTTGGAAGAAATTTAGTAAATAAGAAAATAAACCATTGGGGTACCTGGGTGAATCAGTCAGTTAAGGATCCAACTCTTGGTTTCAGCTCAGGCTGTGATCTCATGGTTTTTATGTTTGAGCCCCGCATCGGGCTCTATGCTGGCAGTGTGGAGACTCCTTGGGATTTTCTCTCTCTTCCTATCTCTCTGCCCCTTTTATGCACATGCCCTCTATCTCTCAAAGTAAACAAATATTAAAAAATAATAAACCATGGAGATTAAAGCTTTAGCTATAATCAGTGCCACAGGGCAATAATTCAGCCAGTGTTATTCTTTTTTTTTTTTTTTTTTTTTTAAATATTTTTTTTATTTATTTCTAGGAGAGAGAGAGAGAGAGAGACAGCGTGAGCAGGGGAGGGTCAGAGAGAGAGGGAGTCACAGACCGAAACAGGCTCCAGGCTCTGAGCTGGCAGTCAGCACAGAGCCCGACGCGGGGCTCGAACCCACAAACCGCGAGATCATGACCTAAGCGAAAGTCGGACGCTTAACCGACTAAGCCACCCAGGCGCCCCTCAGCCAGTGTTATTCTAACATAAGTTGATGAAGTCTGTGGGCTTATTGTAGAGATTTAGGAAAACTAAGCATATCTCTATGCCATTCATACAATATCAGATGTATGACTCACCAGAATGTTGGTGGGGGTGGAGCTGAAGTGTAACTCTTTGATCAGGGTCTATGTGATAGCCCTGCATATACTGAGGCTAAATGTCTTATTTAGAAAATGACAAAACTCATTATCTTTTCTTAGATGGTTTCAGGAAATGACCCATTTTATGAAAGATAACTTTGTTTTTGAGTGATGAAAAGTCATATTTGTTGACCATATTTATTGTGTGAGATCTTGGACTAAGAATTTTAATTTACATAGATTATCTGATTTAATTCTCATAACAACTGAGCTGTATAGGCCCTATTATCATGTCCATTTTGTTTATGAGATGAATAGGCTTATTGAGACTAGATAACTTGTCTAAGCTGATACAGCTGGTAAGTGGCTGATACAGCTGGTAAGTGGCTGATACAGCGTGAAAGTGGCAGACTTAGAATTTGACATCAGGGTTTTGGGTCTGTGGTGCTCATCTCTTTTTTTTTAGACACTGTTTACCATTTAATGCACCATGGAGGCCTCTTTCTGAATTACTTTTTAAACTACTTTACTATCATTCAACAAAGAGAAGATGGATCCATGTTTAATTTTATCAAAGTATATAGCAGGGAGTGTTTAAATGTTAAAATTTCTTATCCAATATAAAACAATTTGTTTTATCATTTTTAATTTTTTATTATATCATAAATTGTTAGTAGCTTTTTTTTTTTGGTCAGAGTTTGAAACTACAGCAGCTAGATGAATTGGCTTGTCCAAAGAGAATACAAAACTATAATCTCTCTTTATATATTTAAGGATCTTTGTTAATTGTTATTTCCCTGACTATGATTATCATTTTGGATAAACTTTTATGGTGTGCCTTTTATGTCCAATATATTGCATTTTAAATAATTGGAATATTTCCTTGTATTGCTTTCCTTTTTATAATATGCCTCCTATTATAATTTTAATATCTCTGCTGAAATATTTCAAAATATTTGAAAGATTTGAAATATTTGAAAACTATGTTCTCAGAGAGAGAGACATGGTGAGTGGGGGAGAGGGGTAGAGGAAGAGGGAGAGAGAGAGTGAATCTTAAGTAGGCTCTTTGTTCTTCACGGAGCCCAACGTGGGGCTCCATTTCACAACTGTGAGATCATGACCTGAGCCAAAGTCAAGAGTTGGATGCTCAAGCAACTAAGCCTCTCAGGTTCCCCTAAAAACTGTACTTTTTAGACGGGTTCTTGAAATCTTTGTTCTTGTTTCTTTAGCTGGGCTTACCTAACTAAATATCACTGGCATTCAGTCATATGTAGCAGTTTGTACTTGTCCCAAAATGTATAGGAGGAAGTGTTTCAGATACATTCAGTGTTCTCATTACTTGCTCAAATCACTCACTCAAAGTCACACAGCTATTGAAGGGTAGAGATGTAATTTGAAGCCAGGTCTGTCATGAATCATTTGTATACTGCATTTTCTTTAAGTTTTATTAATTTATTTTGAGAGAGAGAGAGAACATGAGCAGGGTAGTGGCAGAGAGAGGGAAAGAGAGAATCCCAAGCAGGCTCCATGCTGTCAGTGTGGAGCCTGACACAGTGCTCAGACTTACAAACTGTGAGATCATGACCTGAGTAGAAATCAAGAGTCAGATGCTTAACTGACTGAGCCACCCAGGTGCTCCTGAAATTTTCTATTTTGATGAGCTACAAAAATTAGCAATGTGTTATATGCAAAGCCTATCACTCTTACAGGAATTGTGAAGTTGGTCTTTTTATTTGGATTATTTCATGTCAATTAAAAATATCATCTAAGAGTTCAAAAATATATTCAGAATACAGGATGAAAACCAAAAGTTTAAACTTGTTGTTTAAAAAATTATAATTAGTCCTGTATTTTAACAGAATTACATTTTCTATTTCTGTAGTACCCTGAGACTTCTCAAAATGTTACTATAGTCACAGGAAGTAATTGTTAAAATAGAACACTAATTATATTATTAAATAACAATTGTATACAGTTTTTCTCTTTTTTAGATTTTAAAACAGGTTATCAACTTCTCATAGAAGTTTTCAAGCTCATGTTTTAAGTGAAATTTTGTACTTGTGATAGAATTATAATAATCTACAATAGTTCAAGAAACAGACAATAAATCCTATGTCTTCATATACTCTCTCTTCACTGACTTTCCTTAAGTTTAGTAGCATTCTCAATTCTTGCCCATAGTATAACAGCTTTTGATCTTGTTCTTTGAACCAGCCTCTCATCTTTGTTTTTTATTTCATAGTCCTAGTCTCTAAAAGAATCATCTGTACTTTTTTCTCTGTTTCCTAAATTCCCTTTTACAACTCAGCATTTTCACAGTTCTTGAAAAGGTCAACAGTGATCGTCCAATTTCAAAATCCAATGGCCTTTTCTAATCTTCATCATTTGCCAGTATTAATAACCTCCTCCCTTGAAAATTTTATTGCCTTTGGCCTTATGGTCCCCATTCTCAACTTGCTCTCTGACTATTTTAACTGCTTTCTCTCTATCTTTTTTCACGTGTTTCTCCTCTTCTTCTTGGGTATTTTGTTCTCTCTGTTCTATCTTTGGCCTTCTTCTATTATCATTTTTGTTTAGACATATATTTACACATATATATGTATATATATGTATACACACAGTTATAAACATATATGCATACATATGTATTTTATTTTTCTCATGAATATTATCAATTGTTTCTCCAGGTTTAGCATCCAGCTATATTCTAATGATTCCCTGGAATTATAAGTCCATCTCATCTCTCTCTCTCTCTTTTCAAACCTACTACATGTGCAAATGCTTAAGAGACATTGTAAAAATAAGAAATTAAAGATAGCATTTATAAGTCACGTACCCATGTTCTAATATTTTACATATTACCTAGTTTTAAACATCACAGCAATTCTAGGAGAAACATAGTAGTATCCCCATTTTATAGATGAGTAAACAGGCCCGTGGAGGTTACATAACTTTCCAAGGGTCACAATGTGAATAGGAGCAAAAGCCCAGATTAGACACTAAGGAGCCTGGCTCCAGAGTACATGCTCTTAACCACTACACAGTACCTCCTCTTATTAAAACTAAGGAAGCCACCCTACTCACCTCAATACCTCCTGAAGGCATCTCTGTGTTAAATCATAGCTCATTAACTCACATATTCAATCATACCCCTGAGGCAGCAAGAAAATAATTATATATTTACATCTAGGATATTTTGTTTAAGAATGTAGGAATTAGCTAATTCATTTCAGAAAGAGTTGTGTGCAAAAATGAATGTTCATTCTTACATAGACAAATCCTCAGATATATGGACTGATTCTTTGTGGCTTGTTTTTTTTCCATATTGGTTCTCAATTGTTCAGATTTTACCCTAAGCATACTTGTAAATTAGCTATTAGTGCACTCATGTCATCGCATATGAGGACATAGCCTTGGATCAATCATTTATCTTTTGTCAGTACAGGAAAATATATAATAAAACAAGGTGCAACAGCTTATGAATAAGAAGAAAATTTGTGGAAAAGTAAATGAATATGTTAAATATTAGGTGTTGAGTGAACATATGATAGCACATAGGAAACTTGTTCTATTTATTGACAGTTTTATATTACTACCATTTTTATTTTGTTTATTTTATTTGATTTTTTTTAATTTTTTTTAATGTTTTATTTATCTCTAGGAGAGAGAGAGAGACAGCGTGAGCAGGGGAGGGTCTGAGAGAGAGGGAGTCACAGACTGGAACAGGCTCCAGGCTCTGAGCTGGCAGTCAGCACAGAGCCCACCGCGGGGCTCGAACCCATGAACCGCGAGATCATGACCTAAGCGAAAGTCAGACGCTTAACCGACTAAGCCACCCAGGCGCCCC